ACCATATCTTCTGCCAACGTTTCGAGAACAATCTTTGCTCTCATCAACAAATGAACATATTTGTTAGCCAGCAGCCCTGAGGATGAGAGCAGAGATTGTTCTCGAAACGTTGGCAGAAGATATGGTCTATTCACCGTTCAGCCACCTCACGCGGCTTGTAACCCGAGAATCTTTCATCAAGGTTCCAAAGAGTCGATAATATTAATCGATTTAGTTATGGTTCACTTAACGACACTGTTAGCAACTCAGGTTATAAAGCGCAGAATAATAGGATGGCTAATGAATAATAAATTGCAAAGGATGTGGCAGGAAGGCTCAATGCGTAATTTAAAGTACTATCGGAAAAGCTGATCTAGAGGCCGATATTTGAATCTGAGGCCTCCCGAATACGATGCTCGAGTGCGAACCACTCGACCGCGGTGTTCGGTCATAATTAACATAATTTTGCATCTAATTCGAATAACTGGTCTACCATCAATACAAAAATGTTCCAGATTGTTAAAAATACCAGGGCCGTAGCCTAATTCAAAAGTTCTGAGTCAGCAATAAACGTTAAAATGTTTTCCGTCTTATTTACGTCACTACGTAATAAGGTCTAATGAAACTGCATAAATCGACTAAAGATGGCTGTCTTCTAGGTTGTAACGCCATGTAGTCTGGCAGAAGTTTACCAACGTTTCAGAGGCCCCTGCTGCCTCCATCACCAAGACGATGACTCATCGCCCTGATGAATGTGGCAGGTAAACTACCAGGGTGCACGGTGTTACAAAACAGAAGACAGAGATCTTTGTTTGATTTACATTAAAAATATATTTTATCTGCAGGTGGATGCCGACGCACTGAAGAAGTACAATTGCAATAACGGCTCAGAGTGTGGGTCCTTGACGGGATTGTTCAACTGCTCCTTAGGACACTGCGCCAACTGGACTGACGCATATCAGTGTCGGTACAAGGCAGATGGGATTTCGCTAGACAGCGAACGAGATAACATGAAAATGACTGGCTTCTTTGAGTGCAAAAAATCTCGTTGTGTCGAAATAAAACAACAGTTAATATGTGATCGTTACTGCAACAAAATTGCTACTACAAATGCTAATGTATTTGTCTTATATGATGATTTCGTGTACAGCGGAGAGTGTACAAACGCTGTCGCACTCACAAGTGCAAATGGGACTGACCCAGGAATAAAAATACAACCGACGGAGATCTGGCATAAAGACATGGACCAAGTTTTGATCACATCTTGCATGACAGCTGTAAAGACAGCAAACGGTCTAAAGTAAGTATAGCCTAAGTAGAATTCGAGGTTTTCGCGGCGGTGAGTCTAAACATGGCTGTATTCTGGGTTGTTGCACCATGTAGTCTGGTAGATGTTTACGAACATTTCAGATGTCGTTGCTGATGATGGAAGCAGCAAGGACCTCTGAAACGTCGGTAAACTTCACGGCGTAACAACCCAAAAGACAGCCATCTTCAAGTATAGCCTACTTTGTGCAAGTAAATTCTTTAAATTTCATAGAATATTCTGTGCTATGATGTCGGGCAGCTTATGGCAAGAGCTTATACACATGTATTTCTAGCTCCGTAATAAAAAAACTGTATCACTTCACTGACATTAACTACCCAGTAACTGTATTATGAAGCGTGCATAAGAAGGATGTCTTTGTTAATTGTATAATTAGAAGCTTCATAATGTGTGCTCTTTTCCACATATTATAAGGGTGATCAAAGCTATGAGGATGAAGATGGAGGAACCAAGTAACAGGCATGGGGGAGACATGAAACGCGAACAAAATTTTAGTCAGAAAACCTTAAGACATGGTAGACTGAAGAACAGATGATAGAATACTGTTAAAATAGCTCTTGAGGAAATAAGGTATTAATTACATTGAAGTGGGTAAGGACAGGTCACGTGTCTGGTTTCTCTGAACATAGTATTAACCTTAGTGTTCCATAAAAGTCGAGGAATTTCTTGAATAGTTGAAAGCTAAGTTTGCAGATATCTCTTATTCTTACTGAAACAGTATAAAGATTTCTGTCTTCTGGGTTGTTGCGCTGTGTAGTCTGGTCGATGTTAACCAACGTTTCAGAGGTCATACTACCTCCGACATCAGGGCGATGATGCCAATAGGGTGTGAGGTGCTAGGTTTATAGGCCGGAAAGTGAAAAGTGTAGCCTGCCCCGAGCCAATGGGAGCAGGCATGGGAGTGGACCAATGGCAGCACGTGGGTGAGAGTGGGAGAGGGAGAGAAAGTAGAGAGAGAAAGGTTGAGTATGCTTTACTTGTCCACTTTTTTCTCTTTAAGAGGAACGGACTGTATCAACGGAACTCTGCTGGACGATGGTTTAATCCCAAATCCATCCATGAACTTCACGACACTGTGGGCCTTGTATGCCAATAAGAGTCGACCCGTGGACCCGACACAGAGATTTCTGCCCATGCAATCGGAGCTAACCATCTACAAATCCACAAAGCTGTACATTAACCTGGACGCTTGCGTCAATACCCTCCGAGGGGAGTGCAAGGAATTCTTTGGAACTCACGGCAGGGACGGTCGAAACAAATCCGCACAGTCGCGCTTCCCATGCTACTATGACAAGGTATGCGTTTCTTAGCCACTTCCACGTGTCGGCACAAAAGGTTAAGTAAAATTGTTCCCGGTGCGTAACTAAACACCACGCCATGAAGACGTGTGGAAGTGAAGTATAATTCCACTCTTTCTTGACCTCATCACTAGCTGATGGTGAGCTGTCAGCTTTCCGTCCCGTCCGCTTGGGGGGCAAATACCGTACCCATTAAGCAGGTGGCTTGGTAAGCTAAGAGAAAAATCTCTTCTCAGCCGGAAATCGAACACCGGTTGTCCATCTTGCAGTCTAGTTACTTTACTGACAGAGGTATTCCGGTTCCTAGGATTACACCTCCATTTTCTTTTCGTATTGTCGCTTACACAAGGAAAATGACGCAAAATCAGGTGATAGAAACACAGATTACCTACTTTAACAGTGACTGTTTAGCATCACAAAATTCGAACAAAACTACTTCTGTCTTTTTGCAGAACAACAATGCTTCCGTAGTTGCACGGTTTGATCTCCATAAGACGTGGCGAGAGCTGGTGATTGCTGTGGTGGTTCCTACAGTTATGTTTGTCGTCTCATCAGCCACTCTGTGTATCATCACGCGATCAGTGAAGGTGGGGGATGACACGAAGATGCGTTGCAAGTACTGTGTTGGGAGCGGCGATATGACAGACGAAGAAACGAGCTTCAATCGTGGGACAACCAGAAACAATACCAGCGAGTGTCTTCTCCCACCATCGGAAGACAGTGTAAGAGAAAACAGCAGATATCTAACTCCACACCCACATACCGTATTTATTTTAAATTCGTGTTAAAGTTGTTCTCCCTTCTGTACGTAGATCTATCAAACTTACCCGACAAAACTTTCGTATGAATTTATTCGACCATGTATGCCATATGTCCTGACCAATTACTGGGAGAAGAATGCATATGATTAAGTTCCAAATAATTTAGATTCTCAATTACTTTGTTATTCAATGTTTCTTGGGTTCAGACACACGGTAATCATTTAGTTCGAATAATGTGCTTAGAAAGCAAAGAACTCCTGAGTTGATGCAATCGTCTTCATAATGCTGGCATGAGAGTCAGTCATGCAACCGGATATCTTCCTTCACGTAAGCAATGCCGGTATCAAGAAATCGATTCAGTTTGTCCTTCCATTCATTCCCAGGATCATTCACTACAGTTAATGTTACAACGATTATAAACATCCACCGTCTTGCTAGAAACAACAGGCAGAACAATTTCAACAGTTGCTTATCTTTGTCGTAATTAATACATAGTTGTAAATTTACCTTCAACTTTACTTTGATTCATTTCCTAGTGTTTAAGGTCCTGTAACTTCACTTTTTCCACTTACAGACTATCAGATAACTGACATCCAACCAGACACGCCGTCTTCGTACAAGCACCCCACCACGACGACGGATTTGGTAATGAACAACCGTCCATCATGGAAGAGGGACCATTACCAACCTTTCAAACAACGTCGAATCTGGTAAATGAAATTGTCGTGTCTTCAGCAAATACCCATACACGCCTATAACTTGTTCGTTATCATTAATCTAATACACACTAAATTAATAATGTGGAAATTTCTAAATAAATACAGATTTCTATGTACCAGTGTTCACAAAACAAAGTCTGAATGCTTCAGTCCATTTACAATTTTAAATAATGCTCGCTTCACGTGGTAAAAATTTATTATAATGAAGAACCAATAATCAATTCAATGGGTTTATCTTCACCACAGATGTTGCTTCTGAACATTATATTTTCATTCCTTAGCGTCAGAAGGCAGATACTGTGTTTGTTATTTTAAGTAAGCTGGTATCTAACTAATTAAGGTGTGTGTGTGTGTGCAGTTATGACTTCTGAAAAATGAAAACGGAAGGAATTAGATTTTGCTGTCTTTCGGTTCAAGCCAAAAGACGTAGAGGTTAAAACGGTGACAACAGTGAGGCACAAAACTAAGAAGCATAATTCCTCATCGCGGAGGGCCTGGTTAGTCCCTAGGTTAGACCATATGGATTTTTTTAGACAAAAGTGCAATGGGATAGGTTTCTCTCCGAGTCCGTCGGTCTTACCCTGCCAGTATCATGCCACCAGTGCTCCATAAAATGTCATGATTCTGCAAAATGTGTGCAATGACAATGATTAATGCTGCTAGAATTATTTATAGCTGGTAAGGCACAAACTGTCATATAATCAAAGTTTCTTGGGTGAATGGGCGAACTGTTATACAATGGCTTTAACATTCGTATAATACGCTCGTGGTCACTCGCTCCAACCGCTGATACCCCAGAGCGGCAGTGCCGGAATTTTGGCATGAACTATGGGTGTACAGAATCAATGTGTACATTTAATATGTAGCTGTACTCTGCGTGGAT